ACCAGGTGCCCAAAGTTAAGGGAGGAAAGGTTTATGTAGGTCCGTTCGTCGAGGTTTCAGTCCCTTGTGGGCTGGCTCCAAGGCCAGGTGGCACGGCAGAGGATCCCAGAAGAGAAAGAGTTCGTGGGGGAAGAAGACAGAGCAACAAGGAAGGACCAGCTTCTTATGTTGGATGCAGGCTGCCCACCCTAGGGTGGGTGAGACACTCCCACCCTTAATGCCAGCCAGAATTTCCCAAACCAACCAGTGGACTGATTCACTGATTGCACACCCTTGATCCCAGCGTCGTACACTCTAGACTCAGCCACCTCTGAAAAAGCCCTATGACCACGTGAGGCTTTGGGGGGACATCTAAACAAAGCCATAACAGTGTACTATTTTGGGGGATGAGACCTTTTCACTTTGTCCAACATTTCATACTAGTTTTTGTGTGTTTGGTTTGTTTTTGAGGCAGTCTTACTATATAGTCCAAAATGGCCTTGAATTTGCAGCAGTTCTGCTTCAGCCTCCCCGAGTGCTGGGAATACAGATGTATGCCACCCCACCCTTTATTTTTTTCTTTTCTTTTTCTGTTCTGTTCCACGGCACAGAATCCACTGGGTCACATTTTTTGTGGGGTTCATCATCTTGTTCCCTCGTTCTGGGTCCTCAGGGCTGGGGAGGTGGACCACTCATGTAAATGCCAGGAGTGGGACCCAGAACGGCCCCTTTGGGATGGGCAGGGCCTGGCAGGCGATTATGATGCCATCCTGGCAGTGAGATCATTTTAAAGTCTTACATTTCAGCCCCTTCCCTTGTACCAGTCAAGTTTTCTTAAAAAAAAAAAAAAAAAAAAAAAAAAAAAAAAAAAAAGATGCTGAAGCTTTGTTTACTGCTTTTCTTGGCAGTCCGTGTTGTCAGGACAACAGGATCTGTTTGCTTACAACAGGGTTTTTCTAGTGTTTTTGGAGGAACGAACCCAAAAAGCAAAGCTAAGTTTTACAGTGGTGTCTCTCAGTAAGCAAATGGTTCCCTCGTGTGGGAAGCTTCCTGTCGGAAGAGGGGCCCAGAGGCAGGAACAGCGGTTAGGATGTTCTGTACTCTGTTCTGATCACTCTAAGAAGAAAGGTGCACAAATGGGTGGGTTTCTAGCTCCGGGCTGAGTGTATTAATAGCTGGCACTGAGCACTTCCCTGCTGGGCTCCAAGCCGACTCCTTTGCACACACTGTATTTAAAGCCCATGCCAAGCTTTACGCCCATGCCAGCTAGGTGCTGTCATTCTCAGCATCTGACAGCTGATGAAACCACCCTGGAGGAGTTCAGGACCCTTGCCCAAGCCTCCAAAGCTGGTAACTCCAGCCTTGGAACTGAGTGCATCTGACTCCAAAGTCATGGCTGCTAAGAGTACACAGGTGGTCCCAGCCTGGATTCTAGAGATTTACAGCCAAGCTCATGGGTGTGTGTGGGGGGTGTCAGGGTAGTGCTTAGAACCCGGGGATCCCAGCCCCCACACTACAAAACAAAACAGGAGCCATGAGTGAAGAAGGGAAGGACAGGGGAGCATGGTGGCGTGCGCCTATAGTCCCAGGTTCTGGGAGGCTGAGGCAGGAAGATCACTATTTGGAGATATAACTCAGGCCCAAGGCTCTGGGCAGTGCCAGTGACCCAGAAGGAAAGAATGGAGGAGATATGATGTGGAGCATCAGATAAATGGTACAGCCTCTGACTGCTCAGGGATGGTCCAGTCACAACGTTTCAGGAAACTTCTAGGAGCAAGTGAACTTTGGCCTAAGGTTTGGAGTTTTATTTTTCTTTTCTCTACTGTGGATTGAACCCAGGGTCTTTGCACTGAGCTATCTCCCCAACATTTTTATGTTTTGTATTTTGAGGCAGTTTCTCATTATGTTGCTTAGTGCCTAGGCTGGATTTGAACATGGGATCCTTCTGCCTCAGCCTCCCAGAGTACATGGATCACAGGGATGCATCAAGTTCCAACCTTTTCAAACTGGCTTTTAAATTTACATAGTGCTGTTTCTGCCTGTGTTGGCCACAGTTTTATAATAAAACATAGCCAATTTAATAATACACTATATAAACAGGATTATATATTTTAACAAAAGGAACCAGGTAAGCTGGCACATGCTTGTAATCTAAGCATTTGGGAGACTGAGGCAGGAGGACTGCTGTGAGTTTAAGGCCTGAGCTATACAGTGAGATTCTTTTTTTTTTTTTTTTTTTTGGTCTTTTTCCTTTTTATCGGTACTGGGGATCGAACTCACGACTGCCTGCTTGCAAGGCAGGCGCTTATGCCGCTGAGCTAAATCCCCAGCCCCGAGATGCTGTCTTAACAAAACAAAAAACAAGCAACAGGAAAGGACATCAAAATCTACTTTGGTGCATTAGGAAAGCAGGGTTGCCAAAGTATTTAGGGCCAATGGGTCAAATCTGGCGTGTCACCTATTTTTTACTATTTTTACTTTCTTAATGGCCCAATATCTAAGAATAGTTTTTACATTTTAATTAATTTATTTTTTTGTTTTGAGGTAGGGTCTTGAACTCACTATGTAGCCCAGGTCGGCCTCCAACTCATGGTAATCCTCCTGCCTCAGCCTCCTGATTGCTAGGATTACGGGTATACACCACCACATACAGCCTATATCTTTAAATGGTACTGGTACAAAACCAGTATTTTCTGACATGTGAAAACTATGAGATTTGCCTTCAGTGTTTAAGATTTTGTTGGGCCTGCTATGTCCATTCATATATCCCCTGCAGCTGCTGGATTGGCAGTGTAAGGGTCAAATCTGTTCTCAGCAGGGAAGTCAGCACCAGAGCTGTCATCAGCAAGCACAGGCTGTCATTGAGCAGATAAGACAGGACAAGGAATTTTGCCAGTCCTGGGACATCTGGTGACAGCTGGAGACACCAGAATATTTACACTGGACGCTGCAAGGACTTTGCCCACTGAGGGGCAGGACAGCCAGAGAACTTTGACCACAGATGTCTATTGAAATCTTCCTGCCCAATGTCCCCTGCCTCCTCTCTGTCCCTACCAAAGAACATACTTCTATTTATTTCCTACAGATGGTCTTTTCACCTTGTCTGCCTATACTCAGGCACAATAAATTCCATACCAGTTGCCTTTACTCAGCTGGTCTCAGCTGGTCTCTGTCCCTCAAGAAGATCTGAACCATTGCCACAGAGAGCATGTAGCACAGAGGGCCTCAAATACTTACCTATCTTGCTGGGTACAGCCCTTGGGAGGCTGAAGCAGGATCACTGTGAGTTTGAGGTGAGCCTGGTGTACACAGTGAGTTCAAAGTCAGCCTGGAAAACCCAACAGGATGCTGCCTCAAAACAAAAACAAAACAATTTGCTATCTGGTCCTTTACAGACACATGTCCAGCACCCAGGAAGCTGAGGCAGGAGGATCCCGGCAAATTCAAGGCCAGCACAGACTACATAATGAATAATGAGTTCAAGGCCAGCCTGAACTACATGGTGAGATCCTGTCTCAAAAAATAAAAAGGAAAAAAAAAAAAAGTTCACTGATCCATGACTTAAGAGTCCTAAACATTCTCTGTCAGCCCCAGTACACGTTTTGGGAGAAATAGGAAAATACCGAAATTAAGCATCCACCATTTATAATTGACTGTTCACATTTTGCTTTTTGTTTCACACCCATTTATGAGTAACGCAAACAAAACTCCATGATGCTCCTCATCCTCCCTTCCCTTTCTCAGTTTCTACTTCCTCTTTTTGTTTTTGTTTTTCAGTGTTGGGGATCAGTGCCCAGAAGCATTCTACACTGAGCTCTTGTCCCAGCCCCTGCTTCCTTCTTTGTGGCTGACTGTCATGAATTTAATATGCGCTTGTCCACTGTGACCTTTAGAAGACTTGAATGTATCTATAAACAAAGTACGAATTGGCAACCTTATGTATGGTCTGCACATTGATCATTTATTCAACAATTGGTTTTGAGAGCTCTCTTCATGTAGACACAACTAGAACTAATATACTTTTCTCTTTAATGCACTACTGGGTATTGATCCCACTGTGCATTATTTTAAATTTTGAGACAAAGTCTCACTAGGTTGTTAGATTCCCTGGACTTGATTTGAATTTGAGACCTCCTGCCTCAGTCTCCCAGAGTGCTTGGTGACAGGCCAGCACCACCAGGCCTAGCTAAGGTCGTTGTAAGAAGGAATTTCATTTAATGATTCCTCTGGTGAAGGTGCAAGAGGTTGCATGTATGTTGGTAATCTGGAAAGAGGCGGTCACCTCATGGAAACGCTGATTGGAATAATTTGTCTCGGTCTTCTGTGAGAGCCCCGCAGCATGCAAATACCGAGGAACAGAACAGAAGAGGCTGGAAACCTACCCAGCCGACCAGAGAGCACTTTGAACCTCTCATTCATTTGGCGCTTGCCCTTAGATTCCCCTCTGGTGGTCAGGCAGGGGCAGGGCCATCCCTGGGGTGGTACCCAGGTCGGGGTGGGGCCTGATCTTTCCCGGTGACGCGGTCAGGGAGTCTCCCCTCCAAGGCTGCTCCTACAGGGTGCAGCAGTTGGGGTACCAGGAAGGCCGGGAGCTGCATTCAGCCAGGTGGGGGAGCCTGCGGCGCGGGGGACCCCGGATGGGTGGGGCCCTGAAATTTCCCCTGCATCCCGTGCCAGGCACGGAGGGGAGGAACCAGGCCCTAGGCGGGACCCTGGGTTTCCCCGCTGACCGGGGAAACTTCCCGCAGCTCAGCTGCCGCCCTCCAGACGCCAATTCAGCTAAACAAAGCGGGGGTAGGTGACCGGTCGTCCAGTGAGGAGGGAGAGGCAGGTGCGCGCAGAGGGCTAAATCGCAGCAGCGTCGCCTGGCGCCGGGCCGTATCCTCTTCCGCTCCGTTGATGCGGCCTCCCTCGCCCCGCCCACCAAGCTCCCAACCGCGCCCACTTAGCTCCCAGCCCCGCCCGCCCCAGCTCACTAGCCCCGCCTCTCCCTGCGCGCCGCCGAATCGGCGGGCGCGCGCCGTCCGCACTGATCTCCGGGGTCCCTTAGCCAACCCGCGCGCAGCCCGAGGCTGTGCCGAGTTGAACCGAGCCGAGCCGAGCCACACCGAGCCGAACCGAGGTCGGTCGGCCCCTCCCAGTCCGCCGCCCGCCCGCCGCCCGCCGGGGCAGCGGAGAAGAGCGCGCGGCCGCGCCGAGCCTGTAGAGCCCAGCCCGGGGCGCAGAGCGTGGAGCCCAGGTGAGCGGGCGTGGCCAGGCCCGGGCGCGGACCCAGCCTTTTCGCATCGCAGTCATGGGCGCCCTCGTCCTCGCGCCCCCGGGGTGGGGACTCCGCTGCGGTGGCTGACAGACTCGAGGCCGGCCCGGGGCGCCCTCGGCGGGGACCCACGTGCGCTGCCCCGCGCCCCCGCCCCGCCACGTGCAGGAGGCGGCCCCCGCGCCCCTTCCCTACCAGCGTCCTCGGGTCGCCTCCTGGGGGGGTCTTCCGGGGGGGGGGCCCGGAGTGCGACGCCGGCCGAAGTCGCCAGGCCGGGGCGGTCCCGGGTCTCGGAGGCGGCCTGGGCCCAGCCCTCGCGTTTGACAGGTGGGGAGCGCGGAGCGCGCGGGCGGGCCGGCGGGAGAGCGCGGAGCAGCCCTACCCGACCCTGAACTCGCTCCTCCCGCGGCTTCTCGCGGCGACCTCGCAGGCAGGCGGGCCGGGTCCCTATGACCTAAATTCACTCTGGGGCTGCAGCGAGCTGCGAATGCGGAGCGCGCCTTCTCGGCCGGCGTCCTCCCCAGGACTCGGCCGCTGGGCCCTGCACCGCGTCCCGCTGGCTGCGCTGCCACCCGTTGCACCCGGGGGGGGGGACTTTTCCCGGCGTCTCCCCACCCCTGGGCTGCCCAGTCTGGGAAGCAGGGTGTTTTTACAGCTCTGCCACCCTGCCTCTCCAGCTGCTGTCACTTGGTGCTGCAGAGGTGGCATCTCAGCCCTTGAAGCGATGAAGGCGGGTGGGGACGTCTCAGTGTCCTCAGAGTGGGACGCAGTGTCGCCTTCCTAAAGCCAGCTTCATCTTCCTCAGCCTGGGGTTTGGTTCGCCCCCAGTCCTAGAGTAGAAACTTTGGGTGCCGCACGGCAGGGCGGCAGCTTTCCCCTCCTGCTCTAAGAAGAGGGACCAGAGGGGAGCTCTGTGTCCCCACGGCCCTTTGTTCCGTGGAAGAGGCGGGACAGAAGTGTACAGCAGAGGAAGAAGCAGCGAGTCCGCACCCTGAAAAATGTTAATAACTAGCTTTCTTGGTGGCGAGTGCTGGGGCTTGAACAGTGCTAGAGCTGAGTGACCCTAGCAACTGACATTTGCCACGTAGGGTGCTGTGCTGCTTGCACTGTGTCCCTTGATACCTGTCCCAGGATCGCCCCAGCAGGGAGGATGTGAGGAGATGAGAGTCACACAGCGATCCTTGGTGTTGCTGGGATTTGGCTGAGAGGTTGAATAACGAGGAGGCTCCCACTGCCTGCCCAGAGCCCTTTCACTTTACCACCTTGATCGCTCAGCCTCTGGAGGGGCAGGTGTGTTTACTAAGCAGCGCCCAGACTGAGCACCACTGAGCACCGAGGTGCTGAGCCACCCTGCCCCATCTCTGGCCCCAGGTTGTTGGTCGGCTAGGAGCCAAATATATCCATCAATAACCATGCAGCGGCTCCCGCTGGGGGCGGGGAAACAGTGAGGGTGACTTGCAGTTGTCACAGTGATGCCAAGTGCCCTGGCTCCTGGTGGCAGGCACTGGGCTTGCCCAGAGTTGCGTGAGTAGACCAGCACCCGGCCTGAAGAATGGTTCTGCCCTGCATGTCAGTAATGCCACTGCTGAGAAGCATGACTGCAGTCCCTGTCTCGGAGTGGACAGAGCAGGAGCAGTGGGAGTTTTGGAGAAGTCCCTCGGGGTGGGAATCCTGGAGGCCTTCCTGAAGGAGGTGTCCTGTGTTGAGCCTTGAAGGATGAGCTGAAAAGTAGATACTGGCAGGGCTGGTTGGGATGTGGGGACCGAGGGGACTGGGCAGAGACCTGGTTCCTGCTTCTGGATCCTCCACTGGAAGGAGCTCATCTCTGAGGGAGGTAGAAGTGGGCTAGGTCAAGCCTAGGTTCAAGGCATTTTGGCTCAAAAGCAATTTTTTTTTTCTGGTACTGGGGACTTGAACCCAGGGGCAGCTCCACCACTGAGTACATCCCCATTTCTTTTCACTGTTGATTTTGTGACACTAAATTGTCTCACTAAGTTGCCAGGAAGGCCTCGAATTTTGGATCCTCCTGCCTCAGCCTCCTGCCCTCAGTTGCTGAGATGACAGGCGTGTGCCAATGCACCTGGCTTGCTTCAAACTTGAACTCGAGCTGTAGAGCCCCACTTATCTCACTGTGAACCCATTTTATGGAGGTGCTGAGGGGCTGAGTAACCTGCTCAGGGTCCCCGTGTACCTCCTCAGATCCCCATGGGCCGCATCGGTCCATGTCCATCCAGGGGGTTTGGGGTGCATGCTGTTCACGTTGTCCTCTAAGGTGGAAGCTTCGCTCTGCTGTCTTTCTCGGATGTTTTCCTTTTAGACCTGGTGAGAACTGGTGGCTGTCACCCGCAGGCTGTGCAGCCTTCGCCCTCAGTAGGTCTACTGTTTGGCACTTAAAGAAATTGCATTTTCTTTGGACTGTGCTTGTCCCTTGATCTGTTAATAGGGTCTCATAGGACTTTTCCCCCTCTACCTCTCTGTTCTCCCGATAGTGATGATCACACTCGGCTTTACTCATATTAAGCACAGGTTTTACAGCTGAGCTACCTCCTTTTAAAAAGTTTTGTTGCCAAGGGTGGTGATGCACAACTGTAATCCCAGCACTCAGGAGGATCGCTGTGAGTTTGAGGCCAAACTGGGCTACATAGTGAGACCCTGTCTAAAAAAAAAAAACGGGCTCAGTGGCATAGTGCCTGCCAAGCACAAGGTCCGGGTTTGATTCCTGGTACCAAAAATAAGTAAGTGAATGAAAGACATGGTTTTGTTACTTTGTGTGCAGGTAAAGGTGATGGAGAATAGGTTTCTGAACTTGATGGAGGACCAGAGTCCTGGAGCAGGGTTTTTTTTTTTTTTTGTCTTTTTCCTTCCTCCTTGCCTGCCCTCCCCAGAACCTTGGTTCCTTCTACACCCATCACCTCGTGTGTCCTCAACGTAGCCGTTAGGATGGTGTGGCTTTCCAGGGACAGCCTGGGTGTCCTTCCTTTCCCGGCTTTTCACGTGGCCCGAATTGTTCACAGTAGGTCCCTGTGTGCTTTCCTGGGTTTATATTTTTCCCAGATAAATAAATCCACAGCATTGAGAAAACCTCGCCAGCAAACAATGCTGAGGCCCTGGGACTAGGCACAAAATCAGCTGTGTCCCTCCTGGTGGCATGGGTACTTGGGGGCTGGGAGCCATGGGAGGAGCCCTGGCGATTGGCAGGTGGGAGCCTGAAGAGCAGGCACAGAAAGGTCTGTGGGGTGTGCCCTGTCCGAGAACTGGGTGCACCCACAGCAAAGATCACCTGTGGTCCTGCTCTGGGCTGGGCCCAGTGGATCCATTTTACAGAGAAGGAAATTGAGGTCCACTGGGGCTGTATAGTCTGTGGATAGACTTTCTAATCCTGGATTCTCTGGGCCTCTGTATGCAAGCAAATTATGTCTATTTTCTTTTCTTTCTTTTTTTTTTTTTTTTTTTTTTTTTTTTGTCTTTTTCGTTTTTATTGGTACCAGGGATTGAACTCAAGACTGCCTGCTTGCAAGGCAGGTGCTTATGCCGCTGAGCTAAATCCCTAGCCCCTATGTCTATTTTCTTATGGAATACAGTTCACATTTCCCAGGAAGCTGGGGGTGGACATAATTTTCATAGTTGTTCTATTACATGAAAAATAAAGCCAGGTGTGGTGGTGCACTCCTGTAATCCCAGCACTTGGGAGGCTGAGGCAGGCAGGATTGTGGCAAGTTAAGACAAAAAAAAAAGAAAGAGTTTTAATTGACAGCATTGGCACATAGCTGTAATCCTTAATACTCTAGGAGGCTGAGGCAGAAGAATTGCAAGATCAAGTCCAACCTAGGAAATTTAGCAACTTAGTAAGACCCTGTCTCAAAATTAAAAAAAAAAAAATTTTTTTTAAAGACAGGATGTAGCAGTGCAGAGGCCCTGGGTTCAATCCCCAGTGCTGCGTTAAAAAAGAAGATTTTTGAATTATTTTTTTCATTCTTCCTTAATTGGACCATGTCCTGCACCGTAACAGTGAAAAGTTGTGAAAGCTTGGTGGGTGCTGCTGGGCCGTGTCCCTGCCTGGGCCAGTCCTGGGCAAACTGGGGAAAGAAGTGTTTTAGGAGCAGTGTTTTTCATTTTGGTTGTGTTTGTTGTGTTGCTGCTGAATTTTCTTTTTCAACAATGAAACATTTTACTCATGGAGAAAAGCCAGAGGCTTGGTGAGCCGTGTTGCTTTGGCCGGACTGGTATTTTAGAAGGCTGGAAGAAGCCCCGGGTAACAGGGGAGGGGCCCAGCCTGTATTTTATTGGCTTGGAAACTTGGTAATCTTTGACTGGACCTCTTCTTTTGGGGACCTGAGGAGCTGAGGAATCCTGGGACCTGGCCCCCGCCTACGGAGAGCTCCCAGCTAGCACCCTCTCCCTTTGGACAGAGAGGAGGAAAGTGAGACATTCGGTGGGGCCCCCACCCCCGCCCATCTGAAAGCTGCTGAGTGACTATTTTTATGTTGCCTCTTTTTATCCGCCTGGCTTCTGTAAATAGTTGAGAGATGGCAGTTACAGCGATAAAAATGCTAATTTCCACCTAGAAAGGCGGGATGGAGGGGGAGGCCAGGTCCTGCCCTGTGCCAGCACGGAGGAGGCCGGAAGTCAGAACCCAGCTTCTTGGGAGGTCGCTGCAGGTGAAACTGAGCTCCCCCCCCCCCCATGGGAGAGGTCTGAACCAGGAACCAGAGCTTCTGTGGGGGGATGAGGGGGACACCTTCCCTCTTGGGCCGTTTTTTTCTTTTGCTGTACTGGGGTCCAACCCAAGGAATGCTCTCTGAACTACATCCCTAGCCTTTTAAAAATTTTTTTGAGGTGGGGGGTCTCCCTAAGGTGCCCAGGATGGGCTTGAACTTTCAATCCTTCTGCCTCAGCCTTGCAGAGGGCTGGGATTACAGGCTTGCGTGCCTTTGGAGCCTTATGAACCTCAGTGGAGTGTTGCTTTCCAGGCCCTGATGGAG